CTGGGCCACAACCAAAACAGACGAGCAAAACCTTGCAAAACTTGAGAGAAAGGTTGTTACATCAAATATTTGGCCCCAGAAATTACGGAAAAATATGAGCGAAGAAAGAATGAAGAGGTAAAGATCATKTTGAGGATTCAAATATAATGGCAAATGAAAAGCAAACGAATAAGCTGGGCAGGCCATGTATGGTGTGGTTGAAAACAGACAATCAGTCAAGTCGCTTGCTGGAAGCCGAAGAGCAAAAAACCAGTCAGCCGTCCAAGACAAAGATTGTTAGACTGGGAATCCTGAACGGTGAAGAGCTAGATGGAGATAGATGGAGAGGGAAGTGGTGGTTGCAGTGAAGGTTCTGTAAGGTGGTCTATATAATAAGCCAAGAAAAAAAAAAGTTAAAATTAAAATTATTATCATTATTTTAATAGCATATTTAAACATTTTAAATTTTAAATGATCTTTTTTTTATAAAATAAGTGTATGAGTGGACAGAATAGGTTAGCATCAAGCAATGACACTTGTATGCGTGTTATTATTTAATGATTAATTTTGATTTATCACGTTTTTGCGCCATAAAATAAGTGTGATATACTAATATTAAGCWAGCTAATYGTTAAGGTATATATTTGGAGATGCTGTTTAAGTTGATATCTCTAATAAAATGGTCTGGATGGTTGACTARGCGGGATCGGAATCGTTTATAGAAAGAGGATTTAGTTTTTGATATGGTTTCTAATGCATATGTGTAAATTGAAGTATAATTGTGATTTAAGACGTAAAAAGGTACACCAGTTATTATTATTRTTATTATTATTATTATTAGGWATACTTATTTTACTAAGTTGAATGTTGATATACATGTAGATATCTAAAGTTACACTTTACGCTATAGCCTTTAACTATTAGTTTTGGACTCAAAGCACTAGCTAGATCCAATAATTACAAGACACTCACCTAAAAGTTGAATATTGAAGCATTTACACTTCTCCGAAAGGTGATTACAGATACGAAATTAATTATTTGAAATTCACACACACATATATATAATAATTATTAATTAATCACTTCGTTCAGAATCGAAAACAAAAAGTTGCGCCATGTGTTGTCAACCCCAAAATATTTATAACAAAATAAAATAAATATATTAGAAATAATGTTGAAACATATTCTGAGTTAAAATAATTAATGATCATTATTTTGTAGAYATCATGATGTGAAACTAACTGACGGTGCTTGGAGTGAATCTAAGCCATCGGTTTTCTATACAACTAGAGCTGATGGTTGTCTGGATGGTTGGGACATCTTACAGAAACAAAAGGATCCAATTCTAACCGTTAAGGTATTTTCAATCAGAACTTCCTATAATCTTAATAATGTAAATATTAACTTTTTTTTATATCTAAATTGGACTTTCGCCCGTCTTATTAATAAATAAATAAATGGTTTCTTAATATTTTAACTGATTCCTAGATTATTTCGTAAGAGATGTCCGTAAATTTATGTCTGCAAGTTAAAGTTATTATTTAAAGCTACTTTTTAAATCAATGAAATTGGYGAACAATTTTAAACATTTAAACCTAACTCAACATGAATAAATATCACTTTATTTAATTTCGTAAAAATGTTAATTTTTGAACGAGTTACAATTTAATTCTAAAACTTATTTTTTTTTTTCATTTATTGACTATTCTATATACCATATAATTATTTTACTTATTGAGCTTGTGCATTCGAGCATTACAATTGAATTGGTGATGCATTCTAACTACATAAAGGATGCATCTTATAGGACCTATTAATAAATATATGTTACTGTTCTGGAAAATCTCATTWAAACTATTTTTAGGAAAGTCGAAAGTAACCTTTCCGGCAAATAAGAGAAATGTACCACGATAAATGATAATGAAATAAAATTTGTAGCGAATTTGGTATTTATTTATTTTTTCAGTTTTTGTATATTCTGCCTTAGGTGGCTGACGAAGGACTGAATTGTATTCGATGTCACGAAGGTGGKGCTCTATTAGCCGTCGGTGACGATTGCGGAAAGACTTATGTGATCAAAATGAACGATTGGTTCGTCACTGCCGGAAAAAATGACAAAGCGCTGTTAACGGCGGTGAGCATTATTCTGAACAACCCCTTCCCTCCACCACCAACAAATGTGGATGTTTGTTTTTACTCGATTATAATCATACTATTTAAAATCAAAAACTATTTTATTTTTGGTGTATTGGTGTCTTGGCTTATGTTAAATCTGAATTCAATGATATAAAACTTTTATTGAAAAACGATTCTGAACTAAAACGGATTGTCAGTCCATAATTTTATTACTAATTATATATTATTTTATTTTGATAAAAATAATATATTTTACTATTAGGCTTTAAAACTGCAATAGGTTAAATAGGTTATTTTTGCAAAACTTTTATCGTAAAATTTTATTATTGTAATGCATTTTGGTGATTTTTATAATCATTATAACTTTGAATAGTTAATTTAATTAAAACAATTTTAATACGCTAAGAATTCCCACATTCACACACTATCGCAGTATCATTTATACATTTGGCAACATGTGTCCACAATCGTGTAATAAAAAAGGTCACCCTGATAAAAACCTCCGCAGTAATGTATCACCAAAACAAACACAAATCATTGTTTAATCAATACATTCATCGCTCCACTCAAAATATTAAAATATTATTTTTTTTATCAAATCAAAACAAAATTATTTTTATAATTTTAGTACGAATGGGACAAAATTCGGAATGCATGAAGTGATAATAAACAGTTATTCTTTTATTTATCGACAGATGTTTGATCGGGAAACAAGACGAGAAAAAATCATCGAGGCAAAGCAACGAGAACTAAAACTGAAGACAAAAACATCCGCAAAAGCTGACACCAATACGACAAAGGATAAACATGCCCAGTTGGTAGAAACTGAAATCCGAATGGTCCAAGAAGCAGAAAAAGAATTCATGGAGCTCATTAACATGATTGTGAGTTGCAGTTTTCTGTTTTACAATAATTAATGTGTATTGATAAATAATATTTAAATTATTAATTACGCATTATAAAGAGAAATAAATTATATGAATACTCCAATATTTTTCACCATACATTTGTTMCYGTCTGTGACTATTTTCTAAACCACTCTTTTWCAAACTAAAKTAAATATAGCTATTTTTATTAATTAACTATATGCACTAAACTCGTAAGTTMTATAGGTACCTACAATATTATATTTTATACACCTTCAGATTTTAMAAATTTTAGATAAAATAATATAGAAATTGTATTTTTTGATTCATAAAACAGTAAATTACAAAAAAATAAATATCTTTTACTGAAACACATAGAGTACTCACCACTCAGTGAGACACGAAAGATTGTGGCTATAATGCTTGTCAACATATTAGCTAATATACCGCTTTAACTAGACARTATTTATGTGTATAAAAAATTTCACATAAATCATAATATGAAATATAATCGTGTTCATGCGTAATAATGTACCTAGTTTTTTTTTTGTTTTTTTTTTTCAGAAGAATGACGATGATAACACGGAAAAATTAGAAAACCAAAATGAAGTTGAAGATAATTGTAGTAATGCATTGAATGATCAAAAAAATGATTGATCAATAACGATAAATTATCATAACAATAACGTTCGGGAGAAAACAATAATCTATAGGTCCTTTATCAATTACAATGCTCCATACACCCAGAAATARTTTATGAAAACATCAACATAATATACTACACTTATCATTATAATTTATAAAYATATCTAGRAAATAATTATGTAAAAATGTATGAAAACGTTTCAAATAGTATTTTTTATAATAYTCAATACTGATGACAAKTAAATAATATTATGTACAGTATTTTATTGGTAAAAAAAAAAAAAATATCAAACGATTATCAARAAATTGAAAAAAAGTCSATGGGGAGATCTAACCCCTAACCCCCCGTTKGACCACAACTGGAAYAGACAGCCGATGTGTTACTGGTCTAACCTTGGTACACGGAAATTTTTCGRGTGGTGACTGCAGGAGACAGAACGGATGGAATTTTTTATTTAGAACCTTAAATATTGTGTCAGCGTTAATGCAAAGTTACCAGCAAAATGGTTCTGGTGGATCATCAAATAAATAAGTAGTAACTAACGTTTCAGAAATGCGACAGCTACTTATATTGTATAAACCTGATAACAAAGATTTTTAATTTTTGACATAAATAAGACACAACAATTAATATATCATATTATATTATTATAACAGTGGCCACTTGCTCAAAAAAACATGGCAAATTATAAKACGATGCGCTGAAAATTATACGGATTTTTTTCTGATTTTTTTGATTTCATATAGATTTCTTCTATGTAGCCTACAACAAATTGATTAGACAGTATACCTAGGTGATTGTCAATAGCCAATAGGCCAATTAAAATAAAGCGGAAAAATCTATACATTTATCAATACCAACTACCAACCACTGTTTATGTAACACATTTCCGACCTAATAACTATAGATACCAATCGTTTTGATGTCGAATATATCGACCTTAAGTATTATAACCTATACAATACTTAACATTTTAAAATGTGAAATAGGTATTTACTTATTTCTAATCACTTAATATACCAGCTAAAGTGTAAGTGTTTAACTAAAAATAATAAATCAACACTAAAATAACAAAATTTAATCCTAAAATTAAACCAAAATTTTCTTAAAATTTGTTTATATAATTTGTTTTC